CAATTAAGTCCCGTTTCCTGACAGTAAGGATCGTAAAGACACCGAGCAAACAGTATCACGTGTTAGTCAACAACTTCACCAGAAAAAAAACGGTGACTGTTTCGGAGTCATTTAACTGTCCTCATAAGTCAATAAAATCGTTATGCAGGTACAGATGTCTACCAGTGGTATAACCGGATTAATATGACGTTGACACCAGAAGAGGGTTGTCGGACCCGCTGTCGTTGCGGTTTGTTATTAGTACACAGTTTTCAATATCAACTCCCACTGGAGGCCAACAAAAACCAAGGTACAATTCCGAATTACGTAAGCAAGCATGTTTATTGTCGTAATGTCTGTTTTCTCGAGCTCTTAACAGCCTGCGCGTTACGCTTAGCGCTGAAATCAACAACATTAGAAAGGATTCAATTTCACGATGGTCACCGACAAACTCCACCTGCAAGCATTACTACAGTCTAAATAACAACGCTCATGCTTCAAAATGCTGTTGCAGCTCTTGAATGAAAATTTAGATATCATAATAGCAAAGAAATGCCAATGGTAGGAACTGGAACAAGATAGAAGGAAGTAAAAAAAACTGGCAAAGGTATTGATGCCCAAACATATTTCGATTTTTGTGGATCAACGCTAGCGGAAAAAAATGATTTTTTCAAGCAGGCATGGATATTGTCGTAAGGTAAGTTAGTCGCAAAAAAATGCAATGGTAAAGTGACGCATTAAGCTTTTTGGTTTACAAGCTACATGTTATGTGCTGGTGGAAGTTAAAGTAGCAGTTCTAGACAACTCTGTTGAGCTGAGCAACTGAGAGTAAGCGGTATTTATCATTAGAAAAGGTCAAACGGGAAATTTGGGATAAGCACACTTTCCACTATCAGTAAGCAAAGAATGCAAAAATATGAAAATGTTAACTACAAAGTAGTTACTCAAGTATGTGTTACAGAACTAGATGTATACAGTTAGGAGATAATATAGCAATTGAATTTTTAAGCTAGCAAGAACATGAAGTGTGAAAAGTTCAAGCACAAAGCAATTAGCAAACACGCTGGCTAGTTCTAGTTACAAAATGTGCAGTGACGCTAAGCATTTCCAAACAAGCATTACTTAACACGGGATATTTCCGAAGTTGCGACCCTGACGTTTTTGACTTAAAGGACAGAAAGAGATATCAAATAAGGAAATAAAAGGTGGGAAAATTAACAGTAAAAGGACACTAGCAAAATTTAGAGTACTGCCACAAATACACAGGCTTACCTCAAAGGAGAATGGATATGTGTTTGGACCAAGTTTGCGCAATAGACGTTCCTGCAGCCGCGTAATTTGACGAAATTCTGTGGCCGGTTCAACGTTACTTGTTTGAAAGTTATCAACGGTATCGCAACAATTGTTGGAATGCGAATCACTCGAAAGGACGGGCTGATGTGTGGTATCGCTGTTGACAGGATACACTTGTTTGACTTTAAGGAAAAGGTTACGATGATAGTTGAGACCGAAGACGTCTTCTTCTCTTCCATGGCGAAGGGCACACAGGAGGTGAACGAAAACTTTGCGTCCGTGAACATACTCAGGATCGATCAACACGACACCCTCTACAAAAAAAACGAAAATTCGCAAAAGTTCGAAGTTATGACAATAAACTGAAACATAGGGAACAATCGGTGCGGCATGTTCGTTTGCCAAATAAAAAAGAGACTCAAAAGGACTGAGTGTTCATA